AAAAAAAAAAAAACTTATTAAACTGAATAGTTAATTAAAATCTGTGTTTTGTATATGTACACTATATACCAATAAAGTAGACTTTAAAAAAAATGAATAAACAGGCAAGGAACTGCATATATGGAGAAAGATTTCAACAAGAAAGGTACCAAAACAAACATATGGGCAAGAATGAGAAGAAATGATTAAGAAAAAGATACTGTGTATCTCCAAATATTCTTGGGAGGAAAAAAAGAAAACCACATTCAAATAGCAAAAGTATTAAAAAATCTAATAATGAGAAAGTAAGAATAATATCTTGCACCCTTTCCAGAAAAATGAAAAGACAATGTCAGACAATAAAATCAGGAGGTAAGCAAAGGGAATTAAAGGGGAATACTGACTTCAAAATGACAGAGAACTCTCAGGATAATTACAATATAACAGGATAATTACAAGAAAGACACTGTATAGCAGGCCTAGAGAGTAAGACCAGATTAAAAATGAAGAGCTTCTGAGTAAACATGGAGACTGAAATGGAAACCAACTGTTATGTCTCCATAGTGGAAGTAGTTTTGAGAGATAGATCACTCAAGGACAGGATTTACTTTAGCTTTTCTTAACCTAAGGAAGAGAAGCATATCAAAGAGCACCTGTAGTAGCCTATCATGAGAATTAAGAAACCAATAGAAAAAAAAATCAGATAACACTGAAAGCCACAGGACTAGAAACATGTATTTTTCAAGCAGACCTATAAACAGAAGATAAGGCAGTATTGAAGGCAAAGAGCCAGGGAGATATTTTCACCCCTCATATCAAGGGAATTTAAAACAAATATCATTCAACAAAAGTCTCGACAATTTCATCTTGATTTTTCAAATATTCGACTGGTGAGAATTAATAACTTACAATCAAATATTAAGATCTAGTAAGGAAAAGAAATTACTTGAAATCACTTTCTGACTTTAACAAGAAAGTAAAAACATTCAAAGAGCAGATACTGAAACAGAGAGAAAACAAAGACTGCAGCGTTCACCATTGAAACAGAATCTTTCTTGGAGCTTCAGTAAGATCCTCTTGATATGAAAAAAATGAAAAGGTATTAAGCCCTTACTTATATGTTAACCACTGTGTAGGCAACAGAGAACATACAAATAATAAGACAACCAACTTTGCCTTTGGGGAACTCACACACCTAAGAGACACTTAGATAAAGTCTCCTTGTTGACAATTTCTTCTACAGTATGACATTCTGAAGGCCCACTCCCCATTTGAGCTATTAATAAACCTAATACAGCAACTTACCAACTAAACAACTTAATCATCAGTTACACTGTTTTTAAGAGAAAACTGTACTCTACACAGATTTACAGATTATATCAACTGACTGTGACTGATGGGACTGGATGGATCTGAAGTAAAGAGATAACTTCAGGAATTCCACATGTGGTGTTAAAACCACCAACCTCATCTGGATTGGAGGATGAACAGCCTTCAAACAAGACAATGGTGTTAAGCCAGTGATGATGTCCTATTCCTCTCATTGCTTGGCTTTCTGAGGAGGATGAAGGCAACAGTGTACTCTGGTAAACTAACACTGAATTCATTTCAAGAGATCTAAAGAATTCTTAAAAAAAAAAAAAAAAAGATAATCTAGCTGTCAGAGCAACAGACTCAGGACAGTGGGCCTGTGCTTCACCAATACCCTCCACTATTTCTGAACCACAGTCCAGTTAACCTTTACCAGCATTATAAATAAATATTATCTTTAAAAATGAAAATGTGTATAAGCCCCATTCAAAAGCCAGAAATATAAGATATCGTCCTTATGTCTATTTTCAGACCTGAGAGGAATAAAAGCTGTAGAATAAAATATTATGTGACTTCTTTGGTCTGGAACATAAGTTCAAGAAAAAAAAAGGAATTATTGGAGATAGGAAAGAGTAGTGATTCAAAGTTCAAAAACTGATACACCTACAGGAACTTTAGAAGGGTAACTTAAGTGGAGGGTCTGTGGTACCCTGAGAGCAAGTATCTCTTTTTTAGTATGTAATTACTACTAAATTCCAAAACTCGGCTACAACGTAAGAGTGAAGAAACAATATAAATTTCTGTTTAATCTCTCTACATTCAAAGTATTGGCTGCCAATTAAAAATAAATTAAACAATATGCAGCTTCAACAAAGCCTACCAGGTGCCAGTTGGGCAACCTCTGGCCAAAGGGTTAAAGACATAAGTAAATATACACTGTCACTTACAAGTTATTTAATATCCCTGTATTTGGCTTACTCGTCTGTAAAATGGACGTAATACCACCTAATTTCTGGTAGTGTTATAAGGATT